CCCGCAGGTGCTAGTCCGCACTGCCATCCGCTGTGCACAGGCCCAGACCGGCATTGACTTGAGTGCCTGCACCAAGTGGTGAGTGGCTGCCCGCGGGCCGGCTATTGGCGAGTGGAGTTGGCGACTGTTCGGGCCAAGCTTCTGCACCTTTTTGACCTGTTAGCTCTCCCTTGTTCCTTAGTCCCAGCTCATTGCTCTCTCCAGCCTTCACAAATGGCCACCCGGATCATGAGCATCACTAGGGATGTGAATGAGGAAGGGCAGCTAACCCCTCTCCCCCAGCAACCTTCAGTGCTCCTTCTTGTTGCCTTAGCACCTTGGAAAGTAAATGTCTGCTTTTTTGTGTCTCCCCATTGACTAACCATTTCTTGAGGACCTGTCTGTATCTTTTATTTTTGAACTTTCAAAGCTTGGCTCGCAGTGTGCTCACTAAATGTTGATTGGAAACTGAAGCACTTGCTTGCAGATGTCTTGGGTCACTACTTCGTTTTCCCTTTGCTGTGAGCAGGTGGCGCTTTGCTGAGTTTCAGTACCTGCAGCCAGGACCCCCGAAGCGGCTCCAGACCGTGGTGGTGTACCTGCCGGATGTCTGGACCATCATGCCTACTTTGGAAGAGTGGGAGGCCCTGTGCCAGCAGAAAGCTGCAGAGGCAGCTCCCCTGGCCCAGGAAGTGCCCGCGGTAAGGCAGAGCCTTACTAACAGGTGGGGAGAACAGGTGCCCTGACCTAAGCCCAGGTGGTCACAGCTCTTGGTTTTTATCACAGGAAACAGAGCCTACAGAACAGGCAAGTGAGGCATCGGAGCAAGGAGCGGACACCAAACAGAATGCAGAGAACCCGGAGGCCACCACACAGCAGGAAGTGGACACTGACCTCCCAGAGGCCCCTCCGCCCCCTCTGGAACCCGCTGTCATGGCACGCCCCGGCTGCATAAACCTCTCCCTCCATGGCATTGTGGAGGACCGGAGGCCCAAAGAAAGGATCTCTTTTGAGGTGGGTGTAGGAGTCTGGGAGGCTGTGGGGTAGGGTGTATGGGTGTGTGGCGGGGCTTGGGACATTCCCTTTTTCCTGGTGCCCATGGGCCTCTTTCACCAGGTGATGGTGTTGGCTGAGCTGTTTCTGGAGATGCTGCAGAGGGACTTTGGCTATAGGATTTATAAGATGCTGCTGAGCCTTCCTGACAAGGTCGTGGCCCCACCTGAACCTGAGAAGGAGGAGGTGGCCAAGGAGGAAGAAGTGGTCAAGGAGGAGGTGGCCAAGGAGTCCAAGGAGGAGGTACAGAGTGAGGGCACAGCTGCTGAGTCAGACACCCCACCGGTGAGTACTTCTGCCCCCTGCGCGGGCACTGGGGCTACACATAGTAACGTTGAACAGAACTCGAGTGCTGCGTGGTACCAGGTGCTGTTCTGAGCACGTACGGTCTCTCAGAACCCCTCTCACGCATGTGCCTGAGCGTGTGTAATGGGCGCAGGGTGCTCGGCCCTCGGCCAGGGAGTGCTGTGCTGCTGTGTCTGGAGGGAAGTGGGCGCAGGAGGGAAGGGAAGTGTGGTTGGTGGCAGCACAGGGAGCTCAGTGAAGGGAGTGCTCTGAGGGGCTCAGGCTGTGGTGAGCCAGAACACTGCATTCTCTTAGCCCCTCTAAAGCATTTGGGGCTTCACGCCTAACTAAACGGTCTCAGGTCAACATAATTTCTTACGGGCTGCTCTGGACTCCTGGGGAGAATCCCCGGTGTCTGGAAAGTGCCTGGTCTGCTCTGGACCCGTGTAATGAAATACTTTACATGACGTGGTGCATACAGAGCCCTTAACAGTGCCTGGAGGGGGCTGACCCTCCAGTGTTAGCCATTGTCATTGCTAGTAATTACAGGGACAGTCCTCATCTCGGTCTGCTTTCCTTAGAAGGAAGATGGGGTTCTGCCCAAACCCCCATCTTCTGGAGGAGAGGAAGAAGAGAAACCCCGGGCTGAGGCGTCGGAGGACCTCTGTGAGATGGCCCTGGACCCGGAGCTGCTGCTGCTGCGGGACGATGGGGAGGAGGAGTTCGGTGAGCGCAGGGGGAGGGAGCACGCCGGGGCTGCGGGTGGCTCTAGTGTTCTCCCGTTGGGACTGGAGCCGGTGTGGCCATGTGGTCACTGCTCCAAGCTCATGCCAGGCCTTCTGTAGCAGGAGCCAAGCTGGAGGATTCCGAGGTCCGTTCTGTTGCCTCCAACCAGTCAGAGATGGAGTTCTCTTCCCTTCAGGACATGGTAAGACCAGTGTTCTGCCCCTCCGGCCTCAGTGACAGTGACACTCAGCAAGGCCTGAGCCCGTCCTTGGGAGCTATACTTCTACAAATGACTTCCATTGTTTGTTGACTGACCAGACATCTGGTTCTTGGCTCATGGAACAGCACCTCTGTAGGACCCAGGGGACACTTCAGCGTCTGTCAGGGGGAATAGGAGAGGCAGCTGGTGTAGGAGCACACACACTGGGTTCCTGTGTGGGACAGCCCCAGGGCCAGAAATGCCCTGGAGGCCTTGGGTTAGAGGCTCAGGGTCAGGTCTCCAACCGGAAGGTGCGCCGGGTGGAACTGTCAGCCAGGCCACTAAGTTGTAAAAGGCGATTAGCCAGAGAGAACGATGTGTAACCCCGTTCATCCTCGTTTCCTCTTGCAGCCCAAGGAGCTGGACCCCTCTGCTGTGCTCCCTTTGGACTGTCTTCTTGCGTTTGTCTTCTTTGATGCCAACTGGTGTGGCTACTTGCACCGTCGAGACTTGGAGAGGATCCTGCTTACCCTTGGGCTCCGGCTCAGTGCAGAGCAGGTGCCTTCTCTCGCGTCCCCCTTGGTCCTTTCTGAGGTGGCCTCACCTGACGTAATGTGCACAGGCACGCACCTGAACTGTGGGGGACTTGGGATGCTCCAGTTCTAGGTTTTTTTCACATCCCGGGGAGGGCTTGCACCTTCTCATCAGAGGGGGTCTTGGGTGTGTATTTTCTGCAGGCCAAACAGCTGGTCAGCAGGGTGGTGACCCAGAACATTTGCCAGTACCGCAGCCTTCAGTACAGCCGCTCCGAGGGCACGGACAGTGGGCTTCCTGAGGAGGTGCTCTTTGGTGTGTACCGGTGCTCTGCAGCCTTCTGTGGAGAATGGGCAGGGCAGGGCAGGCTGCTTTCTCCTCCCGAGACCCGACCCTTACCTCTTCTCATGGCCCTTCTAGGAAACCTGGACCTGCTACCTCCTTCTGGGAAAAGCGCAAAGCCAGTAGCTGCCCCCCTGGAACACAAGGGCCTGGTGTCGCACAACGGCAGCCTGATCAATGTGGGGAACCTGTTGCAACGTGCGGAGCAGCAGGACAGTGGGCGGCTCTACCTGGAGAACAAGATTCACACACTGGAACTGAAGCTAGGTGAGTGGCTGATGGGCCTGCCGGTGGCCGTGCAGATGGGTACACGGAGACCGAGGGGAACCCACTCCTTAGGCTGCAGGCCTCTTGCCCTGAGCTCCGATCCTTAACTTAGCCCCCGTCTTTCTGGTGTGTTTCCCACCAGAGGAGAGCCATCACCGCTTCTCAGCCACGGAAGTAACAAACAAGACGCTGGCAGCTGACATGCAGGAGCTGCGCACCCGGCTGGCTGAGGCTGAGGACACGGCCCGCACAGCTGAGCGGCAGAAGAACCAGCTTCAGCGGCTGCTGCATGACTTCCGGAGGCGCCTGACCCCCCTGCAGCTGGAGATGCAGCGAATGGTTGAAAAGGTGAGCCTGTAGGAGAGCTGGCTTAGTTGGGGGGCTTAGTCAAAATGATGCCAAGACAACAGCCCCTTGGTCCACCTCGCCTTCTCCCCCATCCACCAGTTTCTTAGGGAATCTGTCAGCCAGCAGCTTGCAAACTTGAGTCCCCAGGAGGAAGTGGGTAGCAGTCCTTTCTCCTTGGGTCCTAATTCTCGTGCCATCTGTTGCAAACAGGCTGACAGCTGGGTAGAGAAGGAGGAGCCAGCACCTAGCAACTGAGGGCTTGACGCAGGAGCTGCCATCCTGCGAGGTCAGCGATGGAGCCTGCTCAAGTTAGAGCCCTTTCGTTCCAGAGAGAAGCTGAGCAGGACCTGGGAGCAGGCGGGGCAGCTGACCCGTGCTCAGCCTGTGGAGGGGAGCTCAGGCCGTCAGGTGGGGTCTGCCTGTGCTATGTGGACGGACGAGTGAGGAACCGGTTCCACTTACAACTAAATCCAACACCTGCACCCCTCGAATGTCATTTTGCCCTCCACCTTGGGGTTTCTCCTGGGGCCCTTTAGTCTTGTGCTTTCTCCTGTCCTCTTCCAGTTTAGAGTAAGACAGGGGAGGAAAAGGCTCTTTGACTATGTCATAAGGTCTGATGCCAATAAATGAAGAAACAGACGTGGAGTCTGGCTGGGGTAAGCGCCCCTTCCTTGGAATGGCACAGGTCCTGCTGGTCACAGGCACAGGTTCCTGGGGGATGAGTGTCCTGGGGCCTGTGGAGGAAGGGAGTCAGTGCCAGCCAGCTCGCTGTTGGGCTGTCGGCCAGTGAGCACTGTTCCAGCCCCCCCGGACTTGCCAGCAGGAACCAGCACTTCTGCCCCCGGCTCCCTGTGTTCAGAATGTGGTATTGGCTCTGGCCCAGCCTTTTTCCCGTTCCCCATGAGTCTCACCTCTTTCCGTAATCCGTGGTTTCAGTTTGACTTTGTATATAAAGTTGTTTTTGTTTTTTTTTTGCTTTTGTTTTTTAAATAAACCAAAGTAAAAAACAAACCAAGTGTCCTCCATAGCTTTTCCCTTCTTCTTCCAGGCCAGCTGTGCTCCCACCCCTCCTCCTGGCCCTCAGCCCAGCCTCTGCTGGATAGAGGTGTAGTCGCCTCCAGAAGGTGGGTGGGCAGCAGGGAGAGCAAGCCCCCTTGCGCTCAGTGGCTGCTGGCTGGTCAGGAGAAAGGATGCTGTATGGGTATTGCCAGCTCAGCAGGGGGCAGCATTACCCTGAAAAAAAATACCCGGGGTGGCTCTCTCCTCCTTTCCTTAGTTACAGCACAATACAAGAACATTTTATTGAAAACTTTACTGGAAAAAAAAATTCCAAATATTCAGGTGAGACACAAACCCACTGTTGTTGCTTTGAGGCCTGTGGATTGGACATTTACAGGAGTTGAATCCATTTCCTAGAGAACCTACAAGACGGGATCTTCCCTGCACTCGACCAAAAGGACAAAAGCCAGCCTTTGTCGTGCTGGGAGCCTAGAGTGAGGGCCCTGTCGAGGCTGGGGGACCACAGCACTCATTTTCAGGACAGTGTTGTGGGCTTCTCCCAGGAAAGGAGAGAAGTAGGAGGGCAGCAGGGTGGGTGGTGCCCAGGACGGTCTTTGGAGGTAGATGTGATCCCAGCCATGCACACAAGGCGGAGCCCGCAGGTGAGCTGACGGAGTCCATGTCCCCTGCATGCGGGCAGCCTGCAGCAGGCCCTGGACCAGGAGGCACTTTGGACGGTTCTTCTGGAAATAAGAAAGCCTCTCAGGTTTTATAGGCTGCTTACCTGTCTGCAGGCTCCTGCTATGGGCGGGGAGACAGCAGCCTGCTTGGGGCTCCAGGTGCCAGGCTCATTCCAAAGGGCTGGTGAGGGAGGTTAGGGGCCTTCTCCCAGGGATGGCCTTTCGCTGGCTGATGCCTGAGCCTAAGTTTGGAAAGGGCAGAGACTAGAGAAGCTGACTTGTGTTCCAGGGGTGTCCCGAGGGGCGGGGCTCAGTCATCAGCCACAATAGAGAGGGCTCTGAGCTCGCTCAGTTTAGCTTCATTCTCCCGCTCCCGCTGCTCATCAGGGTGGCCAGGCTGGTCAAGCTGTTGGGTCAGGTCTCCGAAGATCTTACGCATTTCAGAGTAGTAGACAACCTGAGTGGGAGACAGGAGGTCAGCAGGGGCTGGACTCGGCACCAAGCCCCCACAGCACTGTACCCTCTGGGCTGGTTCCTATTCCCTCGACTGCTGCCCTTCCCCTCAGCCCATCTCTCTCAACTGCACAGCAACCAGGGAGGCGTGAGCCACTGCCGGAAGCCCTTAAGGACCGTCCACTGCCTGGGGTGGCAATAAGTCAAAGGCGAGGGAAGCAACAGATCCTCGGGGAGGCGGGAGGTGGAGGTGGGGGCTCTGCCCTTCTCTCCAAGCAGCACAGGGGGTGTGTGTTTTGGGTGGTGGAGGAAGACAGCACAGTCCAGGCTGGGGCTGGGGAGAGCTGGAAGGCCCTTGGCAGGTCCTGGGAGACCAGGGAGTCGGGCACTGAGACGAGGGGCTCACTGCTGGACAGAAGCTAGGAGCTGGAGGCTTTTGTTCATGGAGAGGGCATGGCAGGCTCCCAAAGCCCTGAGAATTGGTCTTTAGAAGGTGAGAATGGTGACTCCTCCTTAGCCTTCTGTTCCTTCCCAACTCATCGAATTGATAATCATGCCTAAGGGGCTCGGCCCAGGGCCCAGGCCGGCTGTTTCCACATTCCCTTCTAAGTAGGCCCGTGTGGGACGGGAAGCTTACAGGAATGAGGGGGGGAATGTGAGGAGTGGGGACCCACCAGCAACTCAAATAAATGGCTGAGGGCTGCTTAGACCCAGGGCCTAAGCAGGCCCAGGATGGGCTTTTCCAGGGGAGGGGGCAGGAGCCATTTTTGCCTCAGTCTCCACCTTGTGACAAATGAAAGTATTTCCATGAACGTATTCCACCCTATTCAAAACCCTTACATTTTATCCAGCTCCAAGTTGTCTTTGGGGAAAAGAAACTATTGCTTTAGAAACCTGCAGTGCTGTTGCTGGCAAGGCCAGGCTGAGTGGCAGGTTTGGTGTCAGGGCCCTGGTTGAGCTGCTTCTAACAAAGTGTCTCCCACAGCCAGATCTGAGGGGAGCGAAATCGAGGCCCTCACCTCCGCTGTCACCTCAGGGGACAGGAGCCTGGGCTAGTGCTGGGGAGCATGGGGGATGCCCCCCTCCCCCAGAGCAGCACTGTGTGGCTGAGTCACCAGGAATGCTCACTTCTCCAGTGACTAATGGCAGTGCAGCCCCGGGAGGGGGAAGCTGGTACCAAGCAGGCAGCAACACCCCCGCCACCCCGCTGCCTAGTGACAGGGCATCCTGAGCTCCTGAACTGCTCCATCTGGGCACGCCACAGCCTCACACCCTGGAGCATCCTTCCTGAGCAATGGGATGGAGGAGGTAGGGTAGGCGCAGGGGCTGGAACAGGCGGTGACGCAGCAGGACGGAGGGCGGGCAGGAGGGAAGACACAGGGCTTAAGTACATTCTTCCAGGCCCAGGACGAAGCTGCTGGAAGGAAGCCCTCACCTACTGAGGCAGTGCTCTGGGGTAAGTGTGGGCACCCCCACTCCCTTGTGCTTGCTAGCTTTCTGCCTCATTTTCCCCTAGTGACCAAGGACATGGTTGCTAACAAGTCCCAGCTCCAAAATCAATCCTGCTCAGGGTTCCTGACCCCAAGTGCCAGTCCCATGGGTTTGGTGTTCTCCAAAGATGGCAGGTAACTGAGATAGGAGTCAGGCTTTTTCTTGGGCACCTGTGATTGTGGACTCTGCAAGGAATGAGAGTGTCCACTGGAGGGCGCCAAATACCCAGGCCAAGAGCAGAAGTGAGCTGGAGGCAGATGGGGAGGGCTGAGCCGTCTGCTTTGTTACCTGGTGGGGAAGGTGGGAAGGTGGAAGGATGCTGAACATCTGGAGTCAGCTGGGGGTCCCACGAGGAAAAGACCCCTTGGCTTTAGAACCTCAACCTTTTGGTCTTTTACAGATGGGGGTACTAATCCCTGCAAATGGCCTCAAGGTTGGGAGGTGAAGGGGCAAGGAGGGCAGCAGCTACACCCATCACACACTCTGTATCCCACCATGAGTAGCGGGAGACACAGGGTTGGCCCATGGCGACCCTCTAACTACTTAGCCCAGTGCTCCGCTGTGCACCCCCACCCACACCCAGCCTGCCCTTCCTGCTGGCAGGTGCACCACGGCCAGTGCCCCGTGCGTGGCTCTCCCCAGGGTTCACCATGCTCCGTGGTCTCCTGCCAAAGGAAGAGTAACTAGAGTGGGGATGGGGGGTGTAGGGTCCTCAGAAAAGGGACTTCACCCCCTATGCCTCTATCCCCGACTTCCTAAGCACACCAAGCAAAGAACCTGCCCCTCAGAGTGAGGTGCTGATGGTGCAACCTCCTTTGCTTCTTGCAGTGAAATGTGAGAGAACTAGAGGGAAGAGCTATTAAACATGGAACCTCGTCCTAGGCTGGGATTAACCAAAGAGCAACGCAAGAACCAAAACAGAGCCCAGCAAATAACCAGAGGCCCCTGACTTCCTTCCCTCGGGCAGTGCCGGGGCAGGGTGGGTGGCGTGGGGGCAGGCGTGAGATGTGTCCACAAAGCCACGACTGTCTCCGAGGGAAAGTGTTGGGCTGGCGCTCGGGGCACGTGGGAGCAGCTCACCTGCGCTCGGATCAGGGACTCAAAGCTGGGCTGGAAGTAGTCAAGTCGGCTGTTGTAGAACCGCGGCATCTCATCCAGGAGCTGCTTGTTCTTGGCCTCAAAGTCGTCCCGAACAGGCCGGAGCTCTTCTCGGGCCTGGGAACAAGACCCTGCTGTCAGAGCTCTCACCCAGCATCCCTGCTGGTCCCCAGGTACAGGAGGAACTTGCTATGTGTGCCCTGTGCCTCACTGTGTACCCCCGCCGCTCTCCCGGGTACCTGGTGGAGTTTGGCCAACACTGGCCCTGTCTTCTCCTTTTCCTCGTACTTCTCCACCTTGGCCTGCAGCCTCCTGTAGTCCTGCAGGGCCTGCTCCCACCGTTTCACCGCCATGTTGAGGCTCGGGAAGACACTGCCGAACCTGCTGACACAGTTGGGTTGGACGCAGCCCGTTCCTGGAGTGCGGACTGGCAGCTCAGCATTCACTCGGAAACACACACTGAGTGCCTGCTGAGGGCCAGATCTTATTCTAGGTCTTGGGGTTCCATTGTGAACAAGACCTATGGGGTCAGGCCAGGGAAAGAACCCAAGGCTAAGGCTCACACCACTGGCCTGGAAGACACAGAGGGTCATGAATCCATGATGACACTTATGCTGCCACTGCGCCCCCACAGGCCCCTCCGAGGCCCTGCCCCACACCAGAGACCTGCCACGGGAAGGCAGTGCTGAAGGCTCTTGGGAAGTCATTTGGCCAACAGCTTCCTTTTAAAAAATGGAAGAAACTGAGGCCAGAGAGAAGGCATGACACATCCAAAGCCACATGGAGGAAGTGATGGTCCAGAAGAGAACTCCAGTGTCCCAGTTCTGTCTGGCACCTCCCACCATCCCAGATGCCACCAGCAGGTGACAGAATTGCAATCAAAACCTACTCCTAGAGCCCTAACTGGTTTGGCTGAGTGGATAGAGCGTCAGCCTGTGGAATGAAGGGTCCCAGGTTCGATTCCAGTCAAGGGCATGTACCTTGGTTGTGGGCACATCCCCAGTTGCGGGGTGTGCAGGAGGCAGCTGATGGATGTTTCTCTCTCATCGATGTTTCTAAATCTCTATCCCTCTCCCTTCCTCTCTGTAAAAAACTCAATAAAATATATTAAAAAAACCCCCACAAACCTACTCCTAGTGATCACTTCATAAGGTGTATACATGTATACAGTCTGTTCACACCAGAAAAAGGACAGACTATCGTATGTCCACTCTCCTTTAATAATAAAAAAATCCTATTTAATAAAGAAGTTTCTAACAAGCCAAAAGTCCCCCCTCTCCTCCCCAATAAACAACCCTCCCCTACTCCTGCCCTATCCTACTGGCTGACCACAGGGAGAATAGGAATCCTCTGAAATGGCCACACTGTGGGCCGGATGTCTGCGGAAAACGACTCGAGGATCTCTCCCACCTCACGGTGACTCAGGAGTGGGCCCCTCAGAAAGAGCCGCAGACGCCTCGGCATTTTTGGCCCCGTGGGCACACGTTGGTGATAGTGTCACCCCTAACTGGGAAGGACAGTGATGGAGACTGACAGGCAGGACTCATCCCAGGCAGGGATGCTGCACGTCCCTCGACAAACGATGTCTCCGAGGAAGTGCTGGACACGGCCAGGCAAGCCTAAGGCAGGATTTCCGGAATGGGGCAGGACATGAGGCGGGAGGTGCTACTGCACAGCCGGCGGAGACCTGGTCACGCAACAGGAAAATGACAGTGTGGGGGGTACACGGGCTGAGTAGGCGACCCAGGACCAGGGGAAGAGTCAGTTTCTCTGGAGCATCCCAGGGGAGAGGAAAGATGGGGACGGGCAGCTGCGGACTTCAGCCTGGCCCTGCGCTCAGCCAGGAGGGCGTCTGAGCACGGGTTGTCTTTAGGAAGTTCAGATGCCACATGAAGAGGGGTTTCCAAGTCTGTCTCTCAAAGGGATGGGACCATGAAGTTGGCTTTTAAATGCCTCTACAAATCAAGAGTACATGTGACACAAGAGTCGAGAATACTTTTGCCAGAGAATACAGAATGTAAACTTGACCAAAGCACTAAACGCACCAAACAAAGCTTTAGAACCAGGCAGATTTTGATGAAACAAAGGACTTGTCTCCGAGAAAGGTGATTAAAACGAATTCTTCTAACTTAATGGGGGTCCAGAATGGGCTCAGCCTCTAACTGGAAATGAGAAGTGGATAAGACCATGCAAATGTCTCTGAAGCCTCAGTCACATGCCCTTTCACACATTAATCAAATTGATATTTTTAAATGACTGCTTTGCCAGGCAGAAGATGTAAGGTGCCCAGGAAAATGGCTGGGGGAACCAGCCACCTCCAGGACCAAGGGATCCTCTCGGGGAGGTCTGGACACTCTGCTTTTGCCCAGGCAGCTGCTATAATGCCCGTCCCTTCCTGGGAGGAGTGTGACCAGCAGCTGAGAGGGAGCAGATGCAGTTGGGCCTGAGAAGCCATACGCCACCTCCCTGTCCGCCCCAACTGGACAAGGGGCCACCAGCAGTCACCCTGACTGCCTAGTTAGAAGCAACCTGCTGCCTGGGTGGCCCCAGTGTCTGGGCCTGCTGTCCAGGGGCGAGTGAGGTGGGACGCAGCGGGTCCAGGTCTCCACGCAATGCCAGGCACCCTCAGTGGCTGTGTCTGCAGGTTACGACCTTCAGCCTCTGGCAGCAAGACCACCTGCCTCTGTGAGACCCTCCAGGAAACTCTCTTCACCGTGACTTGTGCCCACAGCAGCGCCCATCACACCAGGAGGCCACGGGAGGCTCCGTGACTCAGTTCACTGTATCTGGATCACTAATCACTTTCCACTCAGGTGGCTCCAGGACTCCTGAGGGCTAACGGTGGGTGTCACGCTTCTCACATTAAAGTGGGGAAACCAAGGTCAGGCAGGAACAATCAGCCCATATGTTCTGAGTGGCTGACTAAAGAGTGGGGGACCCTGTAACCCCTGGCTCTGGGCTACTGCTCCCTGAGGCCCACCTCCCCATCTTCCACTGAGAGGCAGCAGAACGGACTTGGCCAGCCCACATGTGGGGCCTATAGGTAGCATGATGCTGTGCGAGGAGAGGAGCTCATCTGGCCGCAGGACCCCCTTCTAGATGTGGGGCGCTTTCCTGCTCTCCATCTTCCAGATCAAGGGAGGAAAGTTAGCCAGGAGGGAAGTCAAGGACAGGCTGGTCCAGGAACCTGATGGCTTCACTGGTGGGGATGGGGCCCGCTCTCCCTGGGGTATGCAGTTCACAGTTTGACTGGGCGGCCACAAAGAACCAAGGCAGGCTGTCGGACCCTCTGCTCAGCTCCCGCCCCTCTCCCATCATCAGTAGTGAGGGGGGCAGGGAGGCTCTGTGCGGGGGGCGGGGGGGCGAAGAGTCTTGTCCTGCGCACAGGGCTCAACTTCCACTTCAGCCCGACACGTCCCTCCCCTGCTGGGCACTGGCTATGCCATTTCAAAAGGTCAGGTGGGAAAACAGACTAGAGGAACGGACCTGGCCAAGGCCACAGGCTGGGTCAGGGCAGACGGGGCCGCTCCACACCACGTAGCAGGGGTCACCACGTGGCCATTTCCTTGAGAAGGCCATCATGGCTTCCGCACTAGATCTTAAGCTACGTCCATCCTCTAAGACGGGAGAACGGGGCCAGGCCTACACCAGGTACTCGCTGAGGCTCTGCCCACAGCGACTGCCCATTTCTTGCCCGTCCTAAGGTTCAACAGCAAAGTGCCTCCCCTGGGTAAGCTTGGGGTGAAGAGGCAGTGAGAGAGGGAGGAGGGAAAGGGGGAGGCGGAAAGAGGCCGGCTGGGAGGTGGGCTGGGAGCAGCCGGCCCTGGTGGGGAATGCCTGCCATTCCTCAATCTGTGCCCACACAGCCGGGATCTTCCACCCACCAGGAAAGGGAAATTGAAAGCATCCCCATCCGACCATGTGAGCGTGGCCCAGGGACTGGGGGATTAGAGGCCGAGCCCCTGGGGGAGCCTGGGGGCGGTGGGTGGCCATGTGGCAATGTTCCTCATCAGAGGACAGGAAAGCTGCAGTTTCCTGTTTCCGGTGCTGGGGTCCCTGGGACCGTCTCTCCTGGCAAGAGGAGGCAACAGGCAGTGCTGGTTTTATGTGGTTGGGGGAGATCACATGTCGGCCCCAAGATGCACAGAAGCCAGCCTGGGAGCCAGCCCGGCCAGGGGCTCACGCAGAGGTCAGCGGATCTGCTGTGGAAATGGTGCCCGCCCCCTCTGCACTCACCCACCTTCCTGGCAGGTGGTGGGCTGCTAGGGTGGTGGGAAGCAGCCGGGACTTCTCTCCACTCGGCTCCAGAAGCCAGGCATCAGATTTCAAGGCCGCCTCGTTGGTTGTGAAATCGAAACAGGAGCCAGTCCCCATTCTCTGAGCTGGTGTCCCCTGCCTATCTCTGCCAGCCGTGGGTGCCCATGGCAGTCTCTGTGGCAGCCCCTGAGACCCCCATGGGCAGGATCTGCTCTGCCTTGGTCCTTCCTAGCCAGCTCTGGACCCTTGTCTGGAGACTGGTCAGCACCCACAAGCAATGGAAGCCCTGATCTCTCTCTCCTGGGCCTCCTCAGCACCCAGCTGCTCATGTGACCTTGTGACCTGGTGCTGAGCAGGGATTAGGGACCAGAGGCCCAGGGAAGGAGCAGGGGTGCAAGGAGAAATCCCTTTCCACACCAGATCCAGCCTCCCCACCGTGGCTGAGCCTCCAGGCAGCCCTGCTTAGAACAAGCTTTCCTGAGCCCCACCCCAGGGACCTGAACAGGGAGTGAGGAGCTTGACAACCTCAGCACCAGGGGCCAGAGGATCAAAACCTGCTCTCTCATCTCCCTCCTGGCCATGATCCAGCCTGATGGTAATTAGCAGAGCCTCATTACCCGGCCCTGGGGAGGCCACTGCCAGGGACCACCACAGAGAGGTAATGCGGTGCAGCTGCCGGCTGGAGTGGGGCCTTTCTGGGTCAGAGGCTGCCTGGGAGAGGCCAGGGAAGAAGATGAAGTGATTCGGGAGCTTCAAGGCAATGCCCACCCCTTAGGGGACCTAGGGAATAGGCCCGTCTGATCGCTGACCAGAGCCTGCCTGACAGAAGAGGAGTCTCACAGAAGAATTTCTGACCCTGATAGGTCATGAGTGAGGGACCTTCCCAGGCGGGAACCCGTGGCGGCGCCCTTCCCCATGTGCAGCCACCCCCACATTTCAAAAGCCGAGTGCTGCAGGCAGCTGCTCTCCCAATCCGGCTGGGAGATGAAAGGCCTTGCTCATCTCCGCTGAGGGCTCGCCAAGATCTCTGCTGGCTTAACTCAGCAGGCTCTGTCCCACCGTCCTCCGACAAGAACAAAGGGGAAATGGCAGAACGACCGACCGGAGCACAGGCCAGCTGCTGAGGAGGCTCACACGCCCCATCACAGCGTTGGGCAGTGGCCGGTACTTCAGAGCTACCAGCAGGTCAACCCCAGGGCGCAGATCGGGTAGCTGGTGACCCCGTTGGTTTCCCGTCAACCTCAAGCCTAAGGACAGGCGGCTGGAAATGACATTCAGTCCCCAGGTGACCAGTTGACCTGCCTCTCCAAGGAGTGCCCTGAGTCTAGTTCCCAGATGACCTTTACTCACTTTTTCAAGGGCTCAACCACGGTCTTTTGAATCTGGTTCACCTGTCGGAAGAAAAACCCAATGACATCAAAACTGGGGGAAGCCAGACTCTTCCTAAAGGGGAGGCTCCAGTTCCTGAGAAGAGAAAGGAGACCTGTCAGGGGCACCCCGAGAGCCCGGAAGGAAGGGGGCCCAAGTAGGTCAGGCAGGGTGGGCACTCCTAACTGCAGCTGGGGTGAGGCAGAGATGGCGACCAGGAAGTCCAAAGGGCAACAGGAGCACCCTGTCCTCGTCCCTAATGAATTCCTACCCTGCCAGCCGCTGTCTGCCAAGGCCCATATGGCCTTGCTCAGTGAGGCTAGTCAGGCAGAGAGGACCTGCATCTCCCTCATGGCCTCAGTGTGCGTGATGTGAGCTCGTGGGAGCCACGGAGAGCAGGCCAACAGGAAAGAGCACACAGGCCTTGGGGGGCTGAGGGCACCGAGAGGAGCCTGAGCCCTGTTAGCCACGGAGAGCAGGCCAACAGGAAAGAGCACACAGGGCTTGGGCACACAGGCCTCGGGGGGCTGAAGGACTCCATGTAGGTGCTCCTCCAGATAGAAGCCACGAGCAGGGGGAGACCCAACCCCAGGCACCTTTTCCTGGTTGAAGGCGTCCATCCGTTTCATGGCCGTGTCCAGGGCTGTCACCATGTTCAGAAAGTCCTGGTCTTGTTCGCAGAGGGGATTAGAGAGCAAGTCCAAGGATATCTTCACAGCAGATTTGGACATGGCTGTGAGAAGTCAGAGTTCAGGGAACTTGTGCAGGGACAGGCTTCCAAGCCTTGTCATTAGGGCTCCCGTCTTCCCTCAGTCCAGGGGCCTGCACCCAAGGCCAGAGGCCACACAAACAACAAAGTACCACAGAGCATAAGACACTGGTCCTTACTGGACAATGTTCATTCCTGATCATCTGATATTCTGGATCATTCTTTTGGGTAGCTTTACCTGCTGCAATGACAATGTTCTAACTCTGGGTTATAACAGAATCATCTGGGTGGGAAGCTGTCAGAAATGCAGATTTCTAGCTGCAAAGACTCTAATCTAGTCAGTCTGGAATCCAGGACGATGCCTGTCAGAAGCCCTCTCCAGGTGGCTGGGAGGTGCAGTGTGCTGGGGGGACCAGGGTAGCATAGCACACAACAGCAGGGCAGCAAACTTACTGTAAAGAGCCAGAGTCCAGAATTTAGGCTTGGAGGGCCATATGGTTTCTGTTGCAACTACTCAACTTTTCCACAAACAATACCTAAAGAATGGGTGTGGCTGTGTTCTGATAAAACTTTATTGACAAAAGAAGGCCAGGTTTGGTGTAGCTAGGTAACCCCTGGTTTCAATGACACACTTACTGGAAAGGCAGTGGGGAACGATGAAGAAAGATGCTGTCCAGGTAACTCAGAACTAACTTCAAAACAAATAACAGACGGTCTCCAAAAGCAGCCCCTTGGCTTGCTGCGCACATAGTTTGGAGACGCTAGGGGCCAGGAGTGAGGGCTGTCATGCTCAGACGTGCCCACGTTCTCTGGATCGCACTGGCCTAAGGCTCTGTGGCACAGGCAGCAGGAGCCAGCACTGCACCTGGCTGCGGCGGCGGCTACGCCCGGGAGAGGGGAGAGTGGGGCTCTGCTAAGTGAAGACTGACCTCAGGCCACTTCTCAGGGACATCTGTTGGACATCTACTAAGTGCACTGACTTCAAAGCCAGCCCTAAGGTGGCTGAGGGAGGAGGGCATCCACCTGTGCCCCGCCCAGTCCAGCTCAGGGGACATGCCACCTACCCAGGTCAGCATCGGTGCTCTTCTTCAAGTCCTTTTGCAGCTTCCTGGTCTGCTCTTCCAGCCTGCAGGGCAAGGGCACGGGCCTGGGACCTGGCATCGCCAACTGGCTTTGGTCCCCTGCCTTCCCATCTACCTGAGGGAGGCCCCACTTGGTGCTCTGGAATGCCCACCGGGAAAAGGGGCCCTTGTCTGTGGGGACTTTTCCCTACGCACTGAAGGGCCACTCTGAGCTCTGCAAGAGGCCAAGCACCCAGAGGCTGCGAGTTAACGACTGTCACACAGCCATCAGCTGGGGGAGACTTTCTGGCAGGTGGTAAACTGAGCTGCTCCCGGCTCCTGGGGTGGTGACAGGAGCACCCGCTAACGGGCAAGCAGACAAACTGTGCGGGAAGTGAGACCTGGCAGAAGGCTCTGGCCATTCTCCGATCCCAACCCCCTTCCTTTTGGGGTGTGACACTCACTGCTGCAGTTTTCCATACTCCCTCTCAAAGTCTCTCTCCACCTGTAATGAGAGAGAGAACTCAATCATCAGAGAAATGACAACACTTTGGAAAAAATCTGCCAGCCTCCAGACACTCCCTCCACACCCTCCCCCGTCTGCAGAAACAACACGGTCCAGTTCACACAGGCACCGGCAGGTCATTAACGACACAGTACCCCTGTGTTCCCAAATTAATTAAGTGTCTGATTTAGGGCGAGAGACTCCCCTCCCAGACGTGCCAGCCAGGCAAGTACCAGCGGCTCTTCTTCCACCGCAGGGAGTGGGGCACTGAGCGGTGTTCCCTCTTCTCACCCTCCCTCTGGGGACAGGTAAGCTGCTCACCATGTGACGCTCAGCGGGGAGGCAGCAGTGGGCAGAGGCAAAGGCGGGTATGAACTCCACTTCTGTCTCTGCCCCTGAGCAGCTCTGAGGCGAGGCCCGAGCAAGTCACCTCCCTGGGCACAGGCCTGGTCTCCTCACGGTCCTACCTGCCAGCTCCGGGGCCATCAGGAAAGACCCTGTATCCACGCTCTGTGCGCTGGGATGTACCAAACACAGATACCATTACTACTGACTCCGCCGGACTCCCTCCCGTCCTGGTCACTTAGCGATCAGATTTCCCGTGCCAGCAATGTTTACATTGAACGGGTGGAGTCCTGGACCTTATTCCGCTGCCTACACGTCAGGTGAGGTCAAGAAAGTGACTTGCACTTCCACGGCTGAATGTCCCCCCCCCCCCGAAAAAGGGGCCCCCGCCATGGCTCTCAGGCACGTGGCCTGTGGAGTAAGTGACATCTCAGAGCCTAAAGGAGGGGATGGCGAGGCCCTGCCACCGTGTGGAGCCTCTGGCTGAGGGGCTCTGAGAGGGAAACCTGGCTACATTCACTGAGGGAGCCAACGCAGGCTTCTCCAATTCAACCAGGAGGCAGGTGCACCATGGCCCGCACTGTACTGAGGAGATGACGGGGACAGAGGTGGAGCTGCCTGTGCAAGGTCACACCACTGTGAGCAGCCACGCGCCCAGGCCTGTGCTCTTAACCGTCATTCCACGGCCAGGGAAAAGCTGTTTGCTGAGGAATGAAAGCCACAACCTCAGAAAGATGGCTTCTTGGCTGCGCCCCCGAGACCTTGCCAGTACAGGCTGAAGGTCCAGGAGTACAAATTTGCAGAAATCGTCAAAGCCATGCTGCTCTTCACCTGCAGGCCCTTCCATCAAAGGTGCCCCAGTGAAAGAGTATTCTAAGGCCCATCAACCTCAGACTCCACAGTCACAGAATGGCAGGACACGATTCAGGCCAATTATTTCATGTTATACACGAGGAGAATGAAGCCAAAAGAGGGATGTGATTCACATAAGGATGGCTAGAATTCAGACTCCTGGTGCAGGCCTTTTATTTATTTTTTTCAACTATATTCATTCATCCCATAATCATTTAAAGAACACCTATTAAGTGCAATGCATTCTGCCAGGTGCTAGGGATACCCTGATGGACAACAGAGATGTGGGCCCAGGTGGGCATGATCAAACACACACGGATACCTGCAGGCAGGGGGAGCCCTGGGGAGGGTGAGGGCGGGGGTGGGGGCAGTGAGAGTGCTGTGGGCCCGGCTCAGCTGAGGTCCTCAGGGCACCACCGAATGTCACTTTCCGCATTTAAACTGGGAAATTTAGAAGCAGGAACACATGGTCCTTTCCTTACTTTATGATCCTAGCACCTAGAACCCTGTACCAAGAGCAGACACAATTCTATTTAAAATTGATCTCATTCCTTATGATCCACAAAAGCTACTCTTAAGAAAAAATTCAAAACTCCCACTCCCACTAAAGCATATGTACCGTTTAGAGTTTAAAGTGTTACCTATCACAGGGGATTTGCAGTTTGACAGGAATGAGATCACAGCTAAAGGCAGAAAAGGCCTCCGGGGCCTGCAGGGGGAAGATCTGTTGTGGAGCAGAGGGGCCTGCAAAGTCGGCACTGAAGCTGGCCCAGCCTTTTTCCATCAGTGCGGGAGGAAAGAGAGGAGCTGGGAGAGACGGATAAGGCAAACTCTGATACTGGCCCTGGAGCCTAGCTAACATTTGAGCCTCATTTGAGTTTCTTGTCTAGTATTGGGATATTATATTTGGCCTCACCCATGTAAATTTCAGGGGCTGACAACGAAATGGGGTAACAGCGTCAGCCTCGCCTACTTGTTTTGCAGATTCACAGAAGTACATGTGGAGTGCAGGGGAGGGCGCCTGGCCCATCGGTGGTGCCGGCCTGTTCCTCCTCCACACTGGGGTGGTGAGAGGACCACTGGGGATGAAGCAGAGCAAAGCATGTGGTCCATTGACAGCAAGGGTACTCTTGATTTTGGCTAAGCCTGGAGTCCTGTGCCTGGGGGGGCTGTACTGGGCCCTCCCTTCATGGGACAATTTCCTTTCTTACTTTGTAGGATGTGAGCCAGTCTTTACATAGCAAAGGTACTGGTATTTCCCCCCGAAAAGATGAAATTAAAATTAAGGATGTCTTAGCCAGAATGCAGTTCTCCTAAAGATCAAGAACACGGAGTAGGTGCTTCGAGGGGAGGTTAGCGCCCCCGACCCCTGGGGCCGCAGCCCTGGCGCGCTCTGCTACAGTCCCCGAGCTGCGTGTGTGGGATGTTAGGAGCACCTGGTCCTCCTGGCTGGGGCTGCGTGGACTTGCACAGAGAAGGACTGCAGGTTTCCAACTGGGGTGGAGCATTCTGACTGATGAGAAACTCGAGGTCTCACCCTGGAAGCTGAGAAGCGTGTTGGAGTGAGAGACTGGTCCTTTTACTTTATGTCCCTCATGGCCATCTGACAGCCTAAGAGAAGGTCATGAATATTTCACCTCCTCAGCCCTGGGAGCCAGGTGTGGGCAGCTTCTATAGCTCACAGTCCCCAGGCCTCTCTCCTCCACTGGGCATAGATCTGGGGGGCAGCACCAGGACTCTGGCCCCTCAGATGAGGAATAAAGGGACACACTGGAGTCTCATTCCAAGGTCTATCCATTCTGCGGGAAAGAGCCAAACACAAAAGATCTGAACATCTTTGAATGCTTGATGCCTTTGCCAAAAAGGCAGCTGGACCGCAGTCAAGAATGCGAGTGCAAACACATGTGCACAACTGTCAGCGGGTCAGAGCGGGCGGGTCGGCTGGCGAGGTTAGCTCGAGGAGAGTCAAGCACAGGACGGCTCAGGGTGGCAGGGAGGGGCTGCACGGCTCCCTGCAATCTCCCCGGCGCTCGGGTCAGGCTGGCACCTTGTAGGAGCTCAGTTCTTGTTAACTGAAAGAATGGGTCAAGTTCCCACCCAAACCTGTGCTCCTTAAGTGAAAAGAGAGACCAGCCGACAAGAC